CATGACAGCAAATGTACAACGTTTCGAAAAGGTTTTGTCATCATCAGTTTTTCTTCATTACCCATTTAAGCTGTCTCCAGCCATTATTAGAGATAAAGTTTGTTTTTTAATTTCCCATGATTTCGTGTACAAATTCACAAGTAAACTTGGGTGGAAATGTAAGGGATCGATCAAATTTCCACGTTTACATGTAAAATTGTTTAAACAATTGATTCGTAATGGGAATAAAGGTTATTTTTTGGATCTCCCATGTGCAGTTTCATAAGAAAACTAGGACTGATGTGTAGGGGGATCTTTGAAAAATACGTTTCGGCTGCCCCATCTTAAGTAAACTAAAACTAGTAAATAAATAGAGTTAAAAACCATTCATATAATTATTTATCAAGCTTACTCTTAAATTCATTTAAATTTACTGCCTCAACAACATATGAAGGCAACTCATTCCAAAGGCCACCCACCCTGTTAGAAAAATAAAACTGTCTTAGGTGAGGATGACTCCTACCTTGCCAAAATTTATATTTGTGTCCCCTAGTCCTACTATTCTCGACGTGAAGTATGAAAAAAGATGATACATCAACACCTCAATCTGATCCTCTCTAACGTTTCTTTGTTTTTTTCAAGAGAAAAAACAATTTCAGAGATCTTAACCTCTCTTCGTATGACAACCCAGGCACCATTCTAGTAATCCTCATCTGAATCCTTTACAACAATTCAACGTCCTTCCTAAGGTAAGGAGCCCAAGACTGAACACAATACTCCAAATGTAGCCGAACCAGTGACCTATACAATGAAATTATATCTTCTTTAGACTTGTATTCAATATTTCTGTAGATATAACCTAAAATCCTATTTTCCTTACCACTAGCAACAGCACACTGCTTGGAAAGCTTTAGAGACTGGTTAACCATTATGACGGCTAGCGTGTAACTTTGCGCAAAATTAAAAATCAAGCCAAAACAATTCAAATTATGATAACCCACATGCATTATCTTGCATTTATTATAATTAAAATCCATCTGCCATTTATTTGCCCAATTCACTAAATGATCTAAATCCTTTTGTAAAGCAACAACATACTCTTCACAGCCAGCAAAACCCAAGACCTTAATTATCATCAGCAAATTTAAATAATTTATTGACCATTTCTTCATCTATGTCAATGATGTAAATAAAAAAGAACAAAGGTCCTGAGACTGAGACCTAAGGTACCTACTTGTGACACTGATCCAGCTTGACTGAACTTCATTTATAACAACTCTCTGTTTTCTTCCATTCAGTCACTATTATATTCAATTAGCTAACTTATTTCCCACACCTATAGAGATGATTTGTCAAGTGCTTTCTGAAAATCCACATACATGAAATCTTACCTTCATCTACATAAGCAGTAACCTTTTCAAAGAATATCAAAAGATTTGTAAGGCAAGATTTTCCCTTAGTGAAACCATGTTGACTATCCAATAAAATTCTAAACTTTGTTAAATGACTTTGCAAAGCATCTTTTATCAGACTTTCCAAAACTTTTCCCACAATTGATGTAAAACTAATGGGTCTATAATTACTGAGAAATTCTTTATCTCCTCCATTGAAAAGAGGAGTTACATTAGCTAACTTCCAATCCTCTGGTACCTGCCCACTGTTCAAGGACTTAACTTCCAATTCTTAACCTCCTTCAAAACCATTGGGGAAATATTATCTGGCGCAGGAGCCTTATAATTTTTTTTTATTTCCCATTTTTTTCTTAACAAGCTCAAAATTAATGCAATCATCCTGTTCGATCTTGTTTCCATCTAGCAACTGTTCAAGATGAGGAATACTACTTAAATCTTCATTAGTAAAAACTAAAGAAAAAGCAGAATTTAATAAACCAGCCATCTCATGATAATCACAAACATGCTTTCCTTTATCATGCCTCAAAGGTCCTACCCCATCCTAACATTTTGTTTACCCTTAATGTGTTTAAAGAAATCCTTACTGTTAGTTTTACATTTTCAGGAAACCCTTTTTCATACATCCTTTTTGATGTCCTAATTTCCTGTTTGACCAGCTTTCTTGATCTTCTATCATCTTCTAAGTCTCCCGTCATACCATACAATTAGTTTCTACGTTGAAACTATTAAATTTTTCACATTGTGGGTCCCTAATGAGGAATAAGGTTTTGAGGATCTCCTAGAATTTGATTTACAGATTATTAAGAAAACTGGAACGGTCATTCAAGGAATTGTTTAAAATAAATATCTACATTTTCGGAATTTACGCACTGAGTGTTTCTAATGGGGAATTAAGGGTTTTTAAGGAGTTCTGAATACTTGATGTAGAAATTTGCAAACAAATAACAAATAAAAAAAACAAACAACTGAAACGGAAATGCAAGGAATCGTTCAAAGTAAGTATTTACATTTACATTTTCATGTTAAGGGTCCTTAATGAGGAATAAAGGGTTTTGTTTGGATCTCCTAGGACTGAATTTACAGATTCGTGAAGAAACTGAGACGGGCATTTAAAGTGCTGTTGAAAATAAGTATATATGTTTACCCTTTGAAACTTTTCATGCTGAAAATCTCTAATGGAGCTTTCAGGATTGACAGAACAGATTTACTTGTAAATTGGCAAGAATAT